AATTTCCGAAAATCCACATCCGTGGCTGAAACAGTTGGGGAGATTGAAGAATCACCCCTATACTTACTCCATATTCTTAGCCGCTCCACCCTAATTAAAAATTTGACCCCAAAGTGGATCTCTCTTTCAATATCAAAAATATTCGCCACATTTATTATCACAAGTTTATCATAAATAATATAATACCTTTAAAGTTTTCATAAATCGTAAATCGTAAAATTTGATCGCTTTGTTGATATTTAAGACAATAAATCTACCTCCTGTCCGACACATTTTTGAAAATTGCAGAATCACCCCTATACTTACACCATCTTCCCAGCCGCTCCACCCAAATTTTACCTAATTATAAAAAAAAAGATAAAAAAAATGCAGCCTAAAAATCGATTTATGAAAGTATGTCGAAAATACATAATACGATAAGTTCTTGTATTCACCCGAGGCACCCGGCACCGCGCATTGCGCGGTGCTCGACACTAGTATATATATATGCACACACAATCCGGACACACACACACATATATATATATATATATATATATATATATATATATATATGTCCGGATTGTGTGTGTAGTGTGCAAGTTGAGTTTATTTTTAATAAATAAATTAGTGTTAATTTGCATGCCTTTCCACTTGGCACACACTAATTAATTCTCTAATCCCACAGTCAAAGAAAGCCCAAAAGATACCCTCCTTTCTCCTTCTTCTTCCACATACTCTCCTTACTTATCTTCACTCCCCATCTCCACCGAAGCCATCACCTCCACCATCGGCTTCCTCTTCTTCCACCTCAACCCCCAAATTTCCAAGAAAATTCCAAAATAAAAAATGAAGGTCCCCTATTTAACCCTTGCTATAGACTACACCAAAAACACCATCAAGACTTCTTGCCTACTTACGGGAGATAATAATGCATCTCTCTTAAAAGCTCACACCATCTCATTCACAATCAAAGTAGCTTGGCTAGATTTCGGTGTTTGAATGCATCTCTTCTCTCGGTTGTTTACTTCTCTTCGATTTTACGGTAAGAAATTCTGATTTCTTGCTGTAATTAGGAGGCATCAATAGTATTAAAATGATTTTCAAAATTTCTTACAAGATTTGGAGTGATTTCGAAAAATTAGGGCTTTTTGGGGAAAAAATGAAAAAAAAAAATGTGGAGTGTTGATTTCTTGTTCTTGCATGCATCATTTGTGTTGATAGTGGGTAGATACAAGTTTTATTGGTCAAAAGCATTAAAATTTTCGGATTTCAAAAAGGGGTTGCAAGAAAAATGAAATTTTGAACTTTTATGGGGTTACATGTGTAGATCTTAAGATTGATGGGTCAAATCTGTAATTTTTGAGAAGTCAGTCCTAAATGTGTTTTCAAATCTTTTTTTCAGCATTTATTGAACCAAATTTTCGGATTTAAAAAGGTTTTGCAAGAAAAAATTATTTTTGAACTTCTAGTGGTCTTGCATAATAGATCTAGAGATTTTGGGGTAAAATATGTAATTTTCGAAATTTCTGCCTCAAGTAACTTTTCAACTTTGTTTTCTGCACTTAATAAAGTAAAATTGCAGATTGTTAGGGGTTTTTCATGAAAAAGTGGATTTTGAACTTTTAGTGTGGTTACATGTGTAAATCTTGAAATTTTGGGGTCGAATCTGTAATTTCCAAAAAATCTGTCATTTTTTTTAAATTTTGGAATCTTTTTCCAGCAAGTATTAAATAGGGAAAAAAGTTTTCTTTATAAATGTTTCAAATTAATTAAGCTTATATTAGAGTTGTGGATTTTTTTTAAGGAAACAGGAATTTTCATAGTTTTAATTCCAAGAAAATTCGAAACTTTATGAAAATTTAAAATAATTTCAGAAATTAAAAGTTGGATCAGTTAGGAACTCTAGGATTTAATTTGGGAATTTTCGGAATTGGTTTGCTATTATTTCGATATTAGAACATCTTGCATGTCATTTATTATGTGTTGTGCTTTAATTTCCATGCTTTTGAATAAAGGGACTATTAGTGAGAACTCCTTCTAACATTATTTTAATAAGGATGGGTCCAGCTCATTTTCCTTTATTAGTGAGAACCCATTCTTTTTGTATTCTCAAATTTACCCTCCCACTATTCACTACTCATTATCCATTAGTTTGATATATTTTTATTTTATTTTTTATATTTTAATTTTAATTTTCGTTTTTTTATTTATTTCTTCTTTAAAAAATATTTTTTTTTAAAAAAACTTTTTTTTTATATTTATTTTAATATTTTTCTTTAAATATTACTTTTCTATATTATTTTAGTTTTCAGTTAAAACAACTATATGCCAATAAAAAGACTATTATTAAAACGACTATTATAAAACGACTATTATTAAAACAATTGGTATTAAAACAATGATACATCAGTTTCACAATTTATTAAATTAATTATATATTATATTATTTTCATTATAAGATTAACTAATTATTTAATTAAAACATCTCCAAAACAACTATTTGTTAAATGAACTATTTATTCAAACAAACTAAAAAGTAATGAAAACAATAATATTGTTGTGCAAAAACAACTATATTACTATACGAAAACAACTATATTGACTCAACTACAAATTATTGAAATCCACAAAAACAAAAGCAAAAGCAAAAAAACACACCAAAATTCCAACAAAAACGACACGCTATTACGCGTAAGTAAATGAATTAGGGGGTTTTTACGTATTTCTTCTCCAGGTCCACCTCCAACAACAATCCAAAGAATGGGAGCAATTGTTGACAAAAGTTCACCACCTACAAATTAAAAACACCGACAAATATCACAAATCAATTACAAAAAGTAATAAAAAAAATAAAATACAATGGTAACAAGTATTCAACTATAAAAGTAACATAAACAACTACAAAATTAACAAAACAACTATAAAAAAGCAGAAAATACAACTACAAAAATTAACAAAACAACTATAAAAAAAAAAAAAGAAAATACAACTACAAAAATGATACAAACAACTATTTCTCCGAAATTGAAACAACATGAACATCGCAACACATCCAGACATATCAAATAGTTTGCTTCGAGCATTCTCGTCAAATCTTGATTTTCTAATTTCAAACCACCATGATTTTTAAAGCATGGACAATAGAAACTACTCCATAATTAAACAATAATTAGCATATCAAAACAAACAAAGCAAATAAAAGAACACCAATATACCACCATCCTTGCTTTCTACAGCAAACATCTCATCGATCAGGAGAATTTCCGGTTATTGGTATTAAAACAATGATACATCAGTTTCAAAATTTATTAAATTAATTATATATTATATTATTTCCATTATAAGATTAACTAATTAGAATAACGAAAACAACTAATTAAAAAACTATATTGCTGCAAAAGATACCCATCAACAACTATACAAAATAGTAGAATAACGAAAACAACTATACTAAAAATAGTAGAATAACGAAAACAACTATATTGCTGCAAAAGATACCCATCAATAAAAACATCTCCGATTTTTTTTTTTAAATTATGGTTGCGGTGGAGCAGAGCGATGTTACCAGATCTGACGATGCAGACGAGGGTGGAGGTAGAGAGGGGTTAACCATTACCAAAAGAAAAAAACGAAGGGTCTCCCATATTCGATTCCAACGCCTTTGGTGGCCATCGAATATAACGAACAAAGCGAACTAAGCGAGAATCGACTCCATAGCGGCTGAGAACGAAGCGAACTAAGCGAGAATCGACTCCATAGCGGCTATTGTTCTTTAATTTTCTTCACGGTGCCGGAGATTTGAGAACGACTCCTTCGTCGTTGTTGAGACGTGGCGCCACCTTCGTCCTCCGTAGCCGCCGCCTCCACCGCCATTACCGGGATTCCCAGATTGAGAAAGAAGAGAAGTGGATTTCAGATCGATAAAGAAGAGAAAACGTGAATCGGGATGATAGAACGGCGGTTTTGAATATAAAATATATGGCTAGGGTTTGTGATTATAAGATCTGATAATTAGGGGTAATATAGGTATAATACTTCATAATTATATTAATATTAATTTAATTAAATAACTAAGGGGGGTCTCACTAATATTGGAAAATGGTGTAGATCCATCCTAATATATCTTAATGTGCTGGGGGTTTTCACTAATTATCCCTTGAATAAATGACTATGAGTGATGAAATATTGGGATTTTGTACCTTTAATTGCTGCATGGATGTGGATTAATTGCTGTTGGAATTTACTTGGAATGAATTATTACCTAGAAGTGGTAATAAGTTCATTAAATGAAAGATAAATATATCCTTGCTTTTCAAGCATGATTTAGGTATTGAATGTGATGTTTTAAATGTGTTGGCTGCATGGGCATGTGCTGAATATATGTGTGACTGTGTGTGTATGCTGAATGTGTATGTATGCGTGTGCCGTGTGTGGTGGTGTGTGTTTATGTGTGTGAATTTGGGGATTTTTGCCCAAATTATAAATATGTGGTAATTTGTGATATTTGTGTGGTTTTGTGGCACTTGATTGATATTTGTGATGTTATGTCTTGGTCATATTATTGTGGTACGCATGATTTTGAAAAGAATGCATTTCACGGTTTTTAATTTTGAAAGATTAATGGAATGCCGGATAATAAACAACTCTGATATAGAGGGACGGTATCCAACTAGGATGAAATATTGTGGTTTGATTCCACTTAGTGAAAACGGGCTCGTAACAGGTTTATTATTCAGGTACATAAATTAATCTTTCACGGATCCGATAAAACAAAAAATGTGTTTTTCACGATTTTCCTAAAAAGGGCATTTTAGTCATTTTTCCTAAAATGTGTTTATCGGTGAATGATGTGTTTCCTTGAACTATGTGATCTATTGTTTGTCTTGTGAAGTAGGAATGTGGGTAAGGATGGATATATAATATTTTATATTATATATATAACGTATTTTCAATGTTCGATATTTAAATCGGATTTCTTACTGAGCTTTATAGCTCATATAGATGCCTTTTAATTGCAGGTAGTAGTGCTAGTAACCCTCCACCGGAATGGATCGAGTAGCGGATCGAGGTCTTGCCCGGGTTTTTGGAAGTTGTACGAGGGCCTATGAACGATGTTAAATATTTTGGGTTTTTCCTTTTTTGTGATGTAATATTAAACCTTCGTATTTCCCTTTTCGTATCTTTTGAACTCATTTTCGGTATGGATCATGCTTATTATAAAAAGGTTTGTTTGGTAATTTCATTATTTCCACGCCTCAACTAGAAATTTTCGAATTATTCACTAAAATACCCTTTCCAAACTCTGATTACTTTTCAAACCAAAATCGGTAGTTGATAGTGTAGCACTCGAACGAAACTCCTCCTCTCGAAACGTGTTTTCAAACGAAACCTTTATTCGGCTAAAGTAACCTAAGAAAGTTTTTGAAAAAAATGCAAAGCTTTTAAATACCCCGAGAAGACATTTTAATAATTGCATTTTGGTCCCATTTGAAAATTTTAAAAATTACAAAGAGATCCTTAGCTTCCGTTATATGAAGAAATATCCGATAAACCGGTTCGATTTATCGCCCGGTTAGAAGGGGGGGGGGGGGTTCTGCAATCAATATGAGTATTAGTACGAGTATCAGTATTAGTATTAATATTAGTATTAGTATCAATATTAGTATTAGTATTAGTATTAGTATTAGTATTAGTATTAGTATTAGTATTAGTATTAGTATTAGTATTAGTATTAGTATTAGTATTAGTATTAGTATTAGTATTAGTATTAGTATAAGTATTAGTATTAACATTAGTATTGTATTAGTATTAGTATAAGTACTAGTATTAGTATTAGTATTAGTATTAGTATTAGTATTAGTATTAGTATTAGTATTAGTATTAGTATTAGTATTAGTTTTAGTTTTAGTATTAGTATTAGTATTAGTATATGTATTAGTATAAGTATTAGTATTAGTATTAGTATTAGTATTAGTATTAGTATATGTATTAGTATATGTATTAGTATTAGTATTACTATTAGTATTAGTATTAGTATTAGTATTAGTATTAGTATCAGAATTAGTATTAATATTAGTATCAGTATGCGTATCAGTATTAGTATCAGTATTCGTATCAGTGTTGATATCAATATGGGTATCGGTATTGGTATCAACATTGGTATCAATATTGGCAGTGGCGTATACATCTTATCTCTTTTGCAATA